AAATAAAAAAAATAAAGAGGGAGAGAGGAGACCAGTGGGGGAAAAAAGGGGAGAGGATTTTGAGTCACAGCATGAATTAAAACCTGATTCTCCAGTATCAAATATTCTCAAATATTGCTCACCAAAGGTCTATACAGCATGTAACAAAATGAACAAATAATTCTAGTGGTAAGATTTTTATAAATCTTCCCTCATTTTATAGGAAAAGTAGGACCTAGAGAGGTTAAGTTATTTGCCAATTACCACACAGCATTTCACTTGCCAGCACCAGAATTTAATTCAGGTCTATGTCAATCCACTTAATGAGCTGTCATACATTTTCTCAGATTGGATGTGCAATCATTCATTTTAAAAATGTTAAGTATCTTACTTATATCATTTAAAATTGAAATCATCTAGTCAGGGTTTTCCTTTATAAGGACCCTTCCAAATACTCAAAACTGCCTGTAATTTTGCCAGCAAAAATGGATTTGGGAATAACAGAGAATTGCAATCCTGGACACGCAAGCTACCACAAAACCACAGCTAAGTCCAAAAAACAAGGAGCAATGTTATTTTATGGAGAAGGAAGAGGAAGTTAAGAGTGGTTGTTCTGAATAAAAGTCCACTGGAGAAAACCAAAGAGTTCAAACTGATGATGGTTTCTCCTTAAATGAGCTGCAGGGTAGTTGATTTCTTGTAGGAAATGCAATGTACATCCTTCCCTGTGGGGCCTGTAATTGATGATTCTCTCCTATTGAGATTCTTCTATTAGGGGGTCTGTAACTGACAAAACTTCCTGTAATTGACATTGAGTGGTACCTACCAGCCTCTCCTAACATGCACAGCCTGCCATGAGTGTGGTTTCCCTTTTATTAATTCTCACAATACCTACGTCCTGAAGTAAAAATCAAAGAGCATTTGTGACTCCTATTGAAACAGTTATGCATGTATTAGCCAAGAGTGCATGCCAAAATTCTCACCAGAAAAGCTATGAACTAGGATGGAAATAATATAAAATGCTTAGAAGTGCATGATGATTGTCCTTTCAGGAAGGCTATATTAAGAAACCATTAATTATTAATGACAATAACTGCAAAGTGCAAAAAATAAAGCTGAACTGGATAATGGATACACTTACTGAAACAGTAGGTACAGAGAATGGAAAGGCATAAAATTAGGGAAGATAAAGGCTTCCTCTAGCAGAGAAGAACAAGGAACAGAACTGGGGAAAGGAGGGCTTCTTGGTGATTCTGGGATAGAACCAAAAGCAGGCTTCAAAGTCCTTTAGGCACACTCTTATCCTAGCTGAGCAACTTCGGAGGGTTAAGTCCACTAAGTGTGGACTAGCCGCTTGCAGCCTAGCATCCTCCGCAAGGGACAGAAGGTGGCATGGTGGGAAAAAAGCAGGGCCATCACATGACTTAAGGAGTTTCTCTACTCCAAATCTTTATTTGGCAACTGATGCTGGGAATTCTTTCAATAAGGAATAATACGTTTTCCTTCCATAATGAGATAAACAATAACCAAGCATTAAAATAATGCACTCTCATCACAAACCGAAGAATCCTAGAAAGACAGCAGGTTGTATATTTAAGAGCGTAAGACCAAATTAATGAGACGGGTTCTGTATGTTCAAGGAACTTACACTCTCAATATTTCTTCACTTTACATATGGAAGAACAAAATTATCAGAATGGGAATCACCTGATTTTTGCAAGACTAGATTCAAAAATCGTAATAAAGTACATAACCTCACTAGTAAAATAATATGCATTTTCAGGGCTTTTATCACAGCTATGGAAGTGTTTTCAAATTTGAAACACTAAAATTGATCTCCCAAGAGCGGAGTGAGGAGAAAATGTCACTTTGTAGACCAGCTGACAGCTCCACAAGGGGCAGCTGGGCATTTAGCACTGAGATGGGGAAACTCTTGGGAGAGGCTAAAATGCAGAGGCCAGTCCTGAGACCTCAACCAGAAACTGCAAACCGGAAGGAAGGAGAGTTCACATTTGTGTATGCGGATGAAAAGAACTGCAGATAAATTATTTTTTCACAAATCAGTAAATACTGTTATCAGTACTAACCTCAAATTCAGAAATTAAGTGAATGTAGGCATAAATCATATTTTATCCTAGTTTAAAGTAGCACAAGTAATAAATAAATGTTTTAGCATTGGGGATGGTTAAAAAAGGATTTGGGAGCACACTAATTCTAAGACATGTTTGATAAGCTCCATCCTTACCATTAATACATGCTTCAAAATACAGATCAGATGCTAATGTCTCAGTTTCAGGCACATACATCCCCATTATGTTGTCACTGACCTTCCAACTGATACACTCGATGATGGTTCTACTACATGTGCCCTGGGGATTTCTAGATGTTCCAAGGCTCTCCATGCAATGAAAATACCTCACTCACCCAGCCATTAGAGGCCAGAGAGTCCAAGGCTTCATTTCAGTAGCTAAAACCTTCAGAAGCCTCCAATAAGATGCAAATACGTCCTGGGAAAGGTAACAAATTAAACCTTATCAGTTAAATCACTCCCATTTTTTCTTTTTTAAGATTTTATTTATTTATTTATTTATTTATTTATTTATTTATTTATCTATCGGAGAGCGAGAATGAGTGGGGGTGGGGGAGGAGCAGAGGGAGAAGCTGGCTCCCGGCTGAGCAAGGAGCCCCATGCGGGACTAGAACCCTGGACCCTGGGATCATGACCTGAGCCGAAGGTAGATCACTCCGTTTCTTAAAGACAAATTCGAGTCTCTTTTACTAAGACTCTCTAGGTCTTAGTCCTTGAACGTGAAGATCCAGCCGACTCAGGAGGGACTAAGGAAAATCTGCTCGGGAAAGGAAGTGGGAAAAATCCCTAAGGATAGTTTACTTAAATAATCATCAAAAATTCTGGTTGGTCTTTAACCACTGAACGTTCAATACCAGTGACTCGACCAACCTCAGATTTACAATACAAACCAAAAATTAAGACGCACAAAGAAACTTGTAAAGAGGGTAAATCCACTGGTGCCATGCTGTCTTCGATCATCTCGATCATCCTACTAAATGGCAAAATTGCAAATGTACATTTTTTTAAAAGGCAATTCAGTGATCTACTGTGCCCGGTGAAGAGTCACTGATACACATAAGAAATTAATTATTTTGAGTATCACTAAACAAACTAGCTTCATTTTACCCTTAAGCCAAACTCTTGAAACCCACCTTAAGGACCTTTTTAAAAAAGTGTTCAAACTAGGCACAATAAAATTACAAACAAACCAACAAAAAAGGACCAATAGTCTCCAACATTTTTCAGGAGCGTTATAAAAAAAGATGACTTTGAACAACTTTCTTCAGGATCTACTCCTCGCTGCAGTGAGTAACTTTCCCTTCTCTGTAGACATTAAAGTATGTAAGTAAACACCTAAGCACAAACTTTGTTGGCCACCAGCAGGGGAGCTCTTCAGCTTTTGTCCCAAATCCATTCAAACAAAAGAAGCCCCGAGTCCTCCAACCCACCCCTGAGACCCGCACCCCGCGGGAAGTCGCCACATCCCTGCGCCCTCTCCTCCCGCCCCTGTCAGCTCCACTTACTCCTCAGCGCCCCAATGAGCAGAGAGCCGTCCTTAATGAGCTCTTTGATGAACTTGTTGGTTCGCTCCAGTTCAATCTCGTGACACTGCAGGCGCTCCCTAAAATCCGGGCTGTCCAAGTAGGAATCGCTGAACTCCAGAGTAGGCAGCCCCATGGCACAGACGCTACCAGCAGCCACCCGGGGCACGTCCCGGCCGGCGGTGAGGGCGGGAACAGCTGGCGACCGCGGCCGGCGCTGAGGACGCGCGATCGCGGGGAACCAGCCAAGACGATCGAGGACCGAGCAAAGGAAATGGGCCCCGAGCGCCGCGCTGCCAGCACAGGGCTCCCGCGGCGCGCGGACGCCTCTGGACTCAGTCTTCTTCTCTTGCGGCGAGGAGTGTGCAGACTCTGGCGGTGGGCCGAAGCGCGAGTCCGCTCAGGTCGTTGTCATCAGGGCGCATCGTCGCTGCCAACACCGAGGCGGTGGAGGCTCCGGGCCGCCGCCGGAGCAGGAAAGTTATCTCACGGCGCGCAGACACTTCCGGCACCTCCACTCTCCTCCACTCTTTGACAGTCGTTTGTGCTTTGAGCCACTCTGGCCGGGCCAGGGAAGCCCTCCCTCTAAGGCGGACGCAGGCTCAGAGAGCTTGCAAATCGGGCCTGGGCTGGGAGACCCTCCTCCCGCCGTCACACTCCCACCCCACGCCACCCCGCCCCTTCTCCCAGTCACCCTCCCACCGCCACCCACCCGCCCGCACTAGGCTCCCGGGCTGCGCGAGGCTGCGGCGCAGTAGGGCTCGTGCCTTCGCCTGGGGCGTCAACTCTGTCTCCTCCCCAGCACCTGGATCTGACTAGCCCTTGGCGACACTTTGGGGTCCTCCACGCCCCGAAAGGATCTCAGACTCCCAACGTACCTTCCCTACCCCTCCTCCTCGCCACCCACTCCCTAAAAATTGTCAGGGAGAGAAACCAACATTAATTTTCCTTAAAGTTTGAGAAATCATTTTGAAGCCTGATTGGAAGATGCTACTTTCTAGCGTTAGTTTAGATTTTATTTCATGTCCCCACGGAATGCATGTAAATTCCAGGTTGAAAAGTTTTCCTGCCTCTTTCCCACCGCTCAATTCCTTGATCCAAGAAAGTCAGAGTTTTTATACTGCAAATGAAAAGCGTTCATGGGCCTTGGGATGTTGGTTGTTTTTCCAAGTTGCTGTGGAAATGGGAAGATTTTAAGTCATCCCTATCCCCCTAACTACGCACCTGGGACTTAGGTGTTCCTACTTCTAGAAAACTACCTAGATCACAATGCTGTATATTTTATTGGCACTTGGATGGAATTATCCCACAAGCATGAGGATTATCAGAGTGTTGAAATTGGCTGGCGTTCCAAATGAATAGTTAATTCCTACCAAGAGTCAGTTACCCCTTCCTTGATAAACGATCACCTAATAAATTTCTGTTCTCTCCAAACCTTGACAGCAAAAGAAGGTGCTGCCTTACATCTAGTCCTGGCATCATCTATAGTATTTCTGAGAACTCAGTTATTTTTCTTAAGGATCTGCTTTTAATTTCTGTGTTTTCATTGCTTTGTCCATGTGAGCCATCTGTTAAAAAAACTCTTCCACAGATCATGGGAAAAATTCCATTAATGTGCTTTACATTTTTCCCAATTAAGTCTCAGAGACTGTCAAGACTTTTAGTTTCAAAAAATTTTTTAAAGAAGTACACATGAACATTAAAAATAGTACATAAACCTTGAACTAAGATGATGTAAACAATATATTTAATGGCTTTGATTTAAATTCTTCTAAGCCAAGGAAATTGGACTTAAAAACCTTCCATCCATATTTGTATCATTATACCTCTAAATACTGCAGAATCTCTAATCCTTAGAGTATTTTAACTCCAGTGTCTAACCTATATGTCTGTCAGTTAAATGCTTCTCATTTGGGTAGGTGGGGTTGGATGGGGGACAATAATGCTATTTTTCAGTCAAGGGAATGACCCAAGCTGCAGTGGGCCTGTTTTTCACCTGAGGTGATTTTATATCTATTCATCACACAGCCTGAAAGACAAAAAAACAAGTCAGGCCAAACAAATAGTTTCCTTTCAACTGTTGCCATATTGCTACTCCAAGCAACTAAATCCAATGCCAACTGCTGAGATATGAAATAGGATAAAATATAACAATCTTTTCCTGTTTTTCATTAAATAAAAATCCCTTGATTAATTCTTTAAAAATGTATCAACAATCTTTGATAAGTAGCATTTAATATGTTGGATGTCAATTTTCTTTTTTTTTTAAAGTCATATGTCAGGACAGGATTATTCTAGACTCTAAGATATGGGTTATCATTTACCCTTTCAAGTGTGTAATTGCATGTTTTATGCCTACTGTCTACATTATTAGGATCTGAGTAGAGAAGTAATTTACATGGAGAAATAAACAAAGCAAAGCATAGTACCTGACTTGAAGCAATTTTCAGAATAAAAAACATGGAGAATGAGTACCCATAATACATGAAGTGGAATATGCTGTGTTACAGAGGCTCACACAGATGCTGGACCGATAATGCAGCAACACCATTATCAGTGTTTCCAGTCAGGCCCATAATTGCATTTAAATGGAATTAGGATTTTTCCTCCTACCCTGCATTCTGTAGTCTCTAAAGTTTAGTGTGTTATAATAGACTTTTTTTTTTTCCTATAGGTGCTCTCAGGTTTACTCATGACTTATCCCTGTGATTCATACTTTAATTATACCTGCTAGTCAGGCTTTCTCTTATGCCACATTAACCAAGCAAAGAAATAGTTTTGCTTTGAGGTGAATTTACTGTCAGTTTTGAACTGTTGTTTTTATGCATTATTTTCCCCACCATTATAACTGAACCAGATTCTTTCTAAGAGAATAGACTTTCTAAATAAAAGGGTGTCTATACCTGCAAGCTTTTCTTTCATAGAAAATTTCATTGAATTAAAATGTACCCTCTCCGAAAATTTCTACTTCATAATATGTGGGCCTGTCAGCTGCATGGTGAGTTTCATAAATAATATTGGCTGACAGCACTCTTTGGCATGGTTACTGGCACAGAGGTGTGTCTCTGTTTTCTTAATTCTGAAATAAATGGGATGTGTGGGGCTTTGTTTATTTTAAAGAGAAAAACAGTGCGTTGGGGATAGTAAGCTAATATATAATATTTGTAAATCTGCCTAAAACTTTTTTCTTGACCTCAGTTCTGTCTGGCACGTAAGCCTGGTGCGTAATATGCACTCAGTAAGTGTTACTGTTGGGTTATTATTACGGTAGTCCTCTCTTATTTGTAGTTTAACTTCCCATGGTTTCAGTTACCCATGGTCAACTGAGGTACAGAGGCAGATGATCCTCCTTCTGACAGAACATCAGAAGGTCAAGGGGAGTCTAATGCTATGTCACAATACCTACATCATATACCTCACTTCATTTTATCATTTCACATCATTACAAGAAGAAGAAGGGTGTGTATAGTACAATAAGAAATTTGGGGAGAGGCAGAGACCACATTCACATAACTTTTATTATAGTGTAACAGTTTTTCTATTTTATTATTAGTTATTTTTGTTAATCTCTTACTGTTCTTAACTTATAAATTAAAATTTATCATAGGTATGTATGTTTAGGAAAAAACATAGTATATATAGGGCTTGGTGTTATCACAGTTTCAGGCACTCACTGGAGGTCTTGGACTATATCCCCCAGGGATAAGAGGGGGAATACTGTATTTTTCAACTTGTTTTGTAGACTTAGGCCTTTGAGACTCAGATGTTCTGAGGTGGTAAGAGGTTACTAATTTTTTTTTTTTTTTTTAAGATTTTGTTTATTTGAGAGAGAAAGCAGGAGCAGGGGGAGGGGCAGATTGAGAAGCAGGCTCCACGCTGAGCAGGGAGCCCGATGTGGGGCTTGATCCTGGGGCACTGGGATCACAACCTGAGTGAAGGCAGACGCTTAACTGACTGAGCCACCAGGCGCCGCAAGAGGTTACTAAATTAAAGGCGAATGTACCTAAAAAGACTGAACATCCTCCTTGACCTTTCCTACAGTGAAAATGCAGGGACACCATCACAGCCTGCATTTCTACCTATGTGTTACCTTTTCCCAGAGCATGCTCCTTGAAAGGTTTTGTACAATTCTAGTTGAACTTCACATCATATCTGAAAGAACAACATTGAACCCAAATGAACAAAACACATAATTCAAATCTGTTTTAAGATGTTTTTATTGTGTAAAATATATATAACATAAAATTTACCATTTTAACCACTTTTAAGCATACAATTCAATGGCATTTAAGTGCATTCACATTGTTGTGCTATCACCACCACCATCCATCTCCAGAACTTTTTCATGTTCCGCAACTAAAACTCTGTACCCATTAAAGGACAACTTGTCATCCTCCCCTCCCAAGCCCAGGTAACCACCATTCTACTTTCTGTTTCTATGAATTTGACTACTCTAGGTACCTCATGTAAGTGGAATCATGAAATATTTGTCCTTTGTATCTGGAATAGTTCAGTTAGATAATTCAATTATCAATAAGAGAAGCAAAGAAGACAGAGTAATCAAATTTATTTTCAAAACCATTTTATACTAAATAAATGTTTGAATCCAGAGTTTCTAAGATAGTTTTCTGCTAGCAGAAGAAAGTTCAGATCAAACACTTCCATAGCACCATAGCAGGTATTCTTTATTCTGCCTTATTAAAAGTTTTGTTTTTGTTGGCCCACACAATGCTCCTAACATACTGTTTCTTGTCAGATTGGTTGGTGTATGACCTTGCATTATCTGATGGACAAGTGTATATATCATATCATTAGTGACAGAGGCCTATGTGACCTGCTAATATTCTCCATTTGTAGCTAAAAAATTGCTTTCATAAATTGCAGAGTCCCTCTCAAATATAATGCTCCCTTCCTCCTTTCCACTTTTGTCATGAAACAGGCAAATGTCAAATGTAGCCTGCATTGAAAAAGAAACATTTAGTCCCAGGGAAAGAAATGGGAGTCTTTCTTAGGAAGAACACAGAACATAGACCACCTTGTGTAAATGTATTGATTCCAAGCACTTATTATTCAATAAATGGACTAACGAGAAATGGTTGGAAGACCAAGAGGTAGATGGTTGAGAGTTGAGAAGAA